TATTTTGAATTCAAGTTATTGTGTGATTTATAACGAATACCTGACTAGTTAAAGGCAGAACTTTTTGAGCATTTGAAATAAAGAAATATTGACAAAAACAAATGGGTATTCTTTATAATAAAATGTAATTGTGAATGTTGATGCTATAATTCAGTTTGTAGTCTTTTTGTACATTAAGTAAGAATACCATTGAAGCTTTCCATGCAAATTCTGCTCATTGAACTGATTTATGAGGAAACAGACTTGTACGACCAACTGCATTTCCCATTTTTCTCTGTGGCAGCATGACAATGATAAAATACACAGATAAATCAATCAATTATCAATTACCCACCTAATGTGCATTCTTTGCTTTCAATTTGGTTTCGCTAGGTTACAGATAAAATGCTTCTTGCTTTGATAAGAAGTTAAAAAGAAAGAAGGGCATTTATGTGCAATTTGAAAGCACAACAGTGGAAATGATCATTTCAGCATCTTCACTTGTAGTTTGACTTTGTCGAACACAATATGCTTTTTCATTGAATTAATTAGCTGCCAACAGCATAAAACCATCAATAAACACTGCATTGATATGTTAATGTGATCATTGACTGTGCACTTCTCATGCTCAGAACCTTAATAACATATTTGGCTCAGTCCCACATAGCAAATGTTTTCTGGCCCAGCTCCGGGCCACACAATCACTTTTCCCTCGGCCCAAGTACCGCAAAGAATGACGGTACTGAAGTGGCCCAGAACTGGATTAAAGACAAGGGTCACACATGGGCCACAACCGGCCCGAATCTCAGCCAGTTAATCACCCTTAACTGGCCCTGAAGTGGCCCAGAACTGGATTAAAGACATGGGTCACACATGGGCCATAACCGGCCCGAATCTCAGCCAGTTAATCACCCTTAACTGGCCCTGAAGTGGCCCAGAACTGGATTAAAGACAAGGGTCACACATGGGCCATAACTGGCCCGAATCTCAGCCAGTTAACCCTTAACTGGCCCTGAAGTGGCCCAGAACTGGATTAAGGACAAGAGTCACACATGGGCCATAACTGGCCCTGAATAGGACCAAAACAGGTTTTATTTTTGGTACCAAGTCTCAGCCATAAGTTAACCTTATCAACACCAGAAACCCCAAAACTGAGCCATAACCCAGCCTAATCTTACCAAACCATATGAACAAATAAGTCACAGGAAAATTCAATTCTGAAAATTGCTTTATTTAACAATAATGTACACGCCAAAAATACATTTTTAAATTACATCTAGAATTGTGTAACTGTGTGAAGGCTATTTTAGTACATTCAAAGCATAACATCTTATTAGCACCTCAAAAAAGTGCATTTAATTTCAAAATGTTCTTGTCTGTCTTTAACAGTTACTTATTGTAGTAATGCACAAGCCAAAACATTTAATAATAATGAAAATTCACATCTAGAATTATGTAACTGTGTGTAGGCTATTTTTTTTTTTTGTACATTCAAAGCGCAACATCCTATTACCTCAAAGTGCATTTAATTTCAAAATGTTCTGGTCTGTCTTAAAGGAACACTCCACCGTTTTTTCATATTAAACTATGTTATTCCCTTAACTAAGACGAGTTGATACATACCTCTCTCGTCTCAGTGTGGCACTCAATCGCTCTGGCGCGCGGCAACACTTTGATAGCACTTAGCTTAGCCCAGTTCATTGATTAGGATCCAAACATAGATGAAGTTAGAAGCGACCAAACACCTCCACGTTTTCCCTATTTAAATACAGTTACACGACCAAGTATGGTGAAACAAAATAAAACATGGCGCTTTTCTAAGCGGGAAAAATGGATAATAATGTATGGCGGAATAGCACTTGGACTCGGCGCAGTAATATAACTATATCATCGGGAGAGGATTATGAGTGATGATATTACTGCACCGAGTTGAAGTGCTATCAAGTGCTATTCTGCCATACATTATAGTTATCCATTATATGTTATAAGGCAATAACATAGTTTAATGGTCTGTTTAATATATTAATGGTCTGTTTAATAAAAAAAAATAAAAAGTTTAATATGAAAAAACGGTGGAGTGTTCCTTTAAACAGTAGCTTACTTATTGTAGTAATATTGTAGTAATACAGCTAGAGTTGTGTGACTACTATTTTAGTTGCCTGAACAGCCAAGTATACAACATTTTCCAATTCTAACTAAATTAATCTATGAATGAATCTAGCACGGAAATGTAACCATATTATAATGTAATTTTACTCTCAACAAACATAGAGCAAATTAAAACAATTACTTAAAACAAATTTACACATCCGAATTTTTGTATGTGTGAGGGAGAAAAAAATTGTTCTTAGGAAGTGAAGTCCAGCTCTGCAGCCCCTCTTTTCTCCTCAAGCGCTCTCTCCTTCCTCCATCTCTATCAGGAGCAAGCTGAAGCCATCTTGTATAGTTGCTTCTATCTCCTGATCGGGAGCATGTTGTGTCAGACGATTTTTTTCTCACAGCAGCTAAAAGACAAAATATTAAATTAATACAAAATTAATAAATACATATACCAACATTAATCCACCTGTAAATAAATGTAGGTAACAAAATAAAATAAGGTTGCTTTGGTTACATTTTATACAGGAAATGGTTGCTTATAATGTGGCACTATTGAATGACTGTCAAAATACTGTTGTCAAACTCACAACAGTATGACAACAGTATTTTGACAAACAAAACCTTTTTAGCAAACAAAAACCTTAAAAATGTTTAGATATGAAAACTGTGGTGTAAACACATGCTTATCTGTGAATTAACTTTTAATTTATTAACTGTTAAAATAAAACGGCAATTATCCACTAAAGGAATAGTTAAACCAAAAATGTAAATTCTGTCAACATTTCCTCACCTCCACTTGTACGATGCCTGTATGAGTTTCTTCCTTCTGTTGAACACAGCAGAGATTAAAAAAAATAAATGTTTAATCAGTAGAGAACCACTTTCCAATTTAATGTTACATTCCAGTTACCTGTCTGGTCACCAACATTCCTCAAAATGTGTTCTTTGTGTTCATCAAAAGAAACCAACTCATCCAATCTTAAGAGAAAATGATGAGTACATTTTCAGTTTTGTTTGAACTTCCTTTAAAAAACAAGAACAGACATACACACACACACATAAAATAGCAGACATATACTCCTGATTATCAAAGTCACAGATTAGATTTAGATATAATTAAATCTGATTATACAACCATTGAATCACTTTGAGCTTTAAAAGTCAATTACTGTTGTTTGTTGCTGATTTCGCTGTGATTTGTCCTATCATTTTAACAGCATTAACTTACATTACATCGCACCGGTCGCGTCAGTCTGTACTCGCATTCTCAAGGGGCAGTGGATCCGCTACCATATAAGCAAAAGTTCACTTCAATAAAGAACAAAGTGACATCCGAGTTTGAATTCTGGTATTTAAAAAAGCACAAAGAAAGAGAGCGACGAACTTCACTTACCTGAACAGCAGTTGTCTGACAGTGACAGACTTCTTCACCCTTCAGCGGGAGAAATTTCAAACGACGCATACATCACGTGAACCTCATTCACCAACCAGAAAAGCTGCTGTTACCGTGGAGATCGCGCCAAAATAAACATTTTTTAAATGATATTTTTTTTCAAACGTTTTTTAATAAACTGCTATATATATATAGTACGTTTTTAACATGATTTTGTGGTGCTTAAACTAAAAAGTATGGAAAATGATGACTATTTTGTATGTGAATTCTTTTTTCTTTAAACTATAAATTTATTTTAAAAAAAAAAATCAATTATCATGTTAGGAAAATGTATATTTTGTTCAGGTCAAATGGATTTGGGAATTGTTTAATGATTATTGAATTTTGTGAACATTGCTGAAAACTAATAGGCCTAGCAGCCCTAAAGACTTATAACTGTCCAGTACACAAAGGCCCATAATCGCTACACTGATCTGGGCCATAATCGCTAAACTGATCTGGGCCACACACCTCCCATCCACAATCGGCCCAAATGTTGTCTGCCGTCATGCATGCAGGGCCATCATTGCCACGCATGGCCCAGAGTTGGCTGACATGATCTGGGCCACACACCTCCCATCCACAATCGGCCCAAATGTTGTTTGCCGTCATGCATGCAGTGCCATCATTGCCACGCATGGCCCAGAGTTGGCTGACATGATGAATGCCAGTGCCGGCAACACGCCAGCAGTGCCATTTTGAGGCCACATTTGGGCCAAGTCTGTTTGCTATGTGGGGTGTTTGTTGTTTTATGCATTAGTCTGTTAAAATGTGTATCCATTTACAAAAATGCCAATAGTCAGCATTTGTCATGTTAATAATATTGCATATTTTTGGGTCTATGCAGTTAATACTTTTTTTAAAATTTGATTTTTAAGGATATTTTTTGTTTACATTTGTACAATAAATAATTTTGGTAGAGCGTTGGAGTACTAGCACTAGAGTATACTTGCAGAGTAAAAATACATTGCCATTATTTATGATGGAGGTATCATAGTGCCTAGGCATTTTAATAGAATATGTTTCTCCTCACTCTCATTCTTTGCCAATGTCTGCAACCCCTGCTGGTTCTAGCAGATAAGCTCTGTTTGTCTGAAAAGTGATGATTTGATGCTTTGCCAAAGCAGACCTTGAAAGGCGGTGTGATTTAATGAGCCTGAATTTCATTACTCTGCGTAACGGAGGAGCGGTGACCTCCATTACCCCTACAACATCACCAGGATACTTAACCCTGTTGACTAAACAGCGTTTAAATAAACAGAACAAACCCTTAGATGTCACGCCACATTCAATTACATTTGCCCTCATTATGCTGTTTGAAGCTCTATTTTGTGATATTTGCTCCAGATCCTAAAATATTTCTCCATCATTTAGCTTTGATCTGCCATTAAAAAACCCCCGAAAAAGTTAGGGGAACAGCCTAGGTATGGTTAGAGTTGAAGTAAAATCTTTTTTTGGCACCTTTAACAAGCATTTGTCTCATCTACAGGTTCTCTCTTGGCACTGGGCTGCATCCAGACTGGATGCTAATATTATTTTTCGTCCATACGCACCTGACAGTGACAGTTACTCTGGGATTACTTCTCATTCCAAAGGTGATTATTATCCTTGTCCTTAAATCTATAGAATATAGAATAGAAATCAATTGAACAGCTTATGGTTATGTTTTTAATGAAATATTCATAGTTTGTTTCATCCTTCACTGCAGTTCTTGTTCACTGGAACTCATACCCGGGAGGATATAGCCACAGAGGCGTATGAAGAAGAGCTGGATATGGGTCACTCAGGCTCCTGCCTGAACAGCAGCATAACATCAGCCTGGAGTGAGCATAGTCTGGACCCTGAAGACATTAGGGTAAGACCTCTTTACTGGCCCTTGATCATTTACACACACATGTTGGGTTTCCATGTTTTATGGGAACTTTCAAGTGTGGTTGGAGCCGATAGTGTCGTGATCAGTGCCCTGACACACAGCGTAGTTGCGCTTTGGGTGACTGGAGTTCGAATCCCAGCTCTTGGCCCTTTCCAATCCTGTTTTCCTCTTCACTTCCTGTCCACTTTCTACTATACTATCTAATAAAGGCAAAAACACCCAAATAAAATCTTAAGAAAATTAGCTTTTATTAAAGGGATAGTTCACATAAAAATGAAAATTATCACATTTTTTTAATCACCCTCAAGCCATAGATGTATATGACTGTCTTCTTTCAGACAAACAGAGTCAGAGTTATATTTAAAAATATCATTGCTCTTACAAGCTTTATAATGGTAGTGAATGGCGGTCCTGATTTTGAAGTCCAAAAAAGTGCATCCGTCCATCATAAAAGTAATTCATACAACTCATAGGGGGTTAATAAAGGCCTTCTGAAGCAAAAATATCCGTATTTAAAACTTTATAAACTAAAATAACTAGCTTCCGGCAGACGGCCTACGCAAGTTGACTTACGCCAAAAGAGTAACCCCTGACGCGATGTATGAAGTAGGATGTAGGAGTATCGTAAGTTTTGACGCCTCTCGCGGTTTAAAGAAATGGGGCTGGGCAAAAAACTCCTCTTCTCTTATATCAAACATTCTTGTTTTAGACTTGTTTAGACTAATTCGTAATCATGTTTTATTTTGAACTATCCTCTGCGTTCGTCAATACGCCATGCGTCAGATCAGGGGTTACTCTTTCGTCGTAAATCGATGCGTACTGCCGTCTGTCGGAAGCTAGTTATTTTGTTTTTAAATATGAATATTTTTTTTACACAAATGCATCGCTTCACTTCAGAAGGCCTTTATTAACCACCCTGAGCCGTGTGGAGTACTCTTATGATGGATGGATGCACTTTTTTTGGGGGCATCTAAATCTTGTCCACCCTATTCACTACCATTATAAAGCTTGGAAGAGCCAGGATATTTGTTAATATATCTCCGATTGTAATCGTCTGAAAGAAGAGAATCATAAACACCTAGGATGGCTTGAGGGTGAGTAAATCATGGTGTAATTTAACATTTTTGGGATATTTTAATGAAGTTGTTCTTCTACAAGTGACACAAGTAGGAAAATCTTGATTATGCAGTTTTTTTGTGTGTGTGTGTGTGTGTGTTCTTTGCCTTTGTCAGGAGGAGCTCAAGAAACTCTATTCCCAACTGGAGATCTATAAAAGAAAGAAGATGCTGGCTAATAACCCTCACTTACAGAAAAAACGCAGTTCCAAGAGGGGACTTGGACGGACACTTATGCGCCGTATCACAGAAATACCTGAGACGGTGAGTCGCCAGTACAGCCGAGAAGATCGAGATGGAAGTGACCATGGGAGTAACAGAAGCACCCTGAGGAGAAACCCCTTTGACCCGTCTCACTCTGGGAAGTCAAGGGAAGAATCGCTGAAGAGCAAGATGTTCTCACTGAAGAGATCTCATAGCTATGACCATACACATGACCAAGGTGGGGAAACCAATGGGGTGCCTGAAGATAAAATGGAGAACTCTACTACTGAGGCTTCTCTGCTTGACACCTTGATGGGCCGGAGGTCCAACAAGAAGAACCATGAGGTGCCAAAGGTTGAGTTAGCGGAATCTACTGAGTCAGTGCCCTTAGTGTGCAAGTCCGCCAGTGCACATAATTTAGCACCAGAAAAAAAGTCTGCACATCTTCGGACCTCTATGTTACAGAAGTCACTGTCTGTCATTACTAGTGCCAAAGAAAGGACACTGGGCATTGCGGGAAAGACTCACAGTGTGGAAGATGCCAGTAAAAAGGGTCTTAAAGCAAGGGATAGCACAGCGCTTTCAGAAGTCAATGAATCCCCTGAGTGTTTTCCAAAAATGATCATCAGCCAGTCGGTTGAGTACACCAAAACGCCTAGTAAGATGGGCATCATGAAGCAGCAGGTGAGCGGCAGTCAGCCCTCCATTTGTTCTGAACCAGGGAAGAGCAAGGACCTGTACGACCTCTCTGAGGTGTGCCCTTGGGAAATGGAGGAGTTACCCACTCCATCGGAGGGGAGGGCCCAAAAGCATGTTTCCATTGCCCCCTCTGAAACCACCACGATCCATGGGAGCAGTGCAAAAACTGGACACAAGTCTCAACACAAACAAAAAGGTTTGGGCCAATCTCCGTCAAATCGCCGTCGCTCCAGAGATAAGACTGGGGACAGGGATGAAGGGAGGAAACCTAAATCTCCTCTCAACCTCACTGCCCACAAAGACGCTAGTCCATGGAACTTCGAAGATCCATCTGTCCAACAAATGGAGCCTGTAGGACTGTCCCCTGAGAGAACAAGACGCAAGAAAAGTGTCACACCCACAGATGGAAAGCCCAGGATGGTCCTCTCAGATATCTCAAAGTCCACAGGAAGCCTTTTGCAGCCTCCAGCTCTCATGGTGGATATCTGCCCTTGGGATTATGATCCCCCTCTGTCCCCCAACAAGGACAAGACTTCCAGCCCCACACACCATTCAAAGAGAAGAGATTCTTGCTCGAAAAGAAAAGGATCCTGCTCTTCCAAAGAGAAAGCTAAGGATAAAGAGGATGATAAACGAAGGTCCAAGAGCAAGGAGCGGAGAAGCTCCTCAAGCAAACCCTCTGAGAAACGACGCACAAGCCAATCATCCGAGGGAGACCAAGCTGCCATGGTGGCATCTGGCAGGAAAAGGAGCTCTACTAGAGAGACCGCCATCAGCAGCAGTAAACGTCCTGACGTTTGCCCCTGGGAGACAGAGCCATTGCCAAGTGTTAACTCAAATGATAAACACACACCAACAACTGAGAACCACACAACACAAACACCGTCCTCTTACCTCAACATGGCTGAAGTTTGTCCATGGGACTTTGATGAGAAGTTGTCAGGAAAGAGTGCCTAACACAATACTCACTAAACTAGATCACTCCAGTAGGATTTCTGAGATGGCAGATTCCATATTTGAAAGGCCTGTTCACACCAAGAAAGTTAACTGTAACAATAATTGGCTTCCACACCAACACCTAATGATAACATTCTGTGTACTATGAGCGAGTGCTGCAATTATGTCATCTGATGCTTTAGCTCCTTAAAGGGTTAGTTCACCCAAAAATGAAAATTCTGTCAGTAATTACTTACCCTCATGTTGTTCCAACCCCGTAAGACCTTCGTTCATGAATTAAGATATTTTTGATGAAATCTGAGAGCTGGATCACTCCTCCATACTAGTCCATAGGCTTCTTCAGGGATTGAACTTGCCGGCCTCGAAAAGTTATTAAAGACATTGTTAAAATAGTCCAAGTGACTACAGTGGCTCAATCTTAAGTTTATCAAGCGACGAGAATACTTTTTGTGCGCAAAAACAAACAAAAATAACGACTTTATTTCAACTATTCATGTCCATCTCCTTGGGCCTCGAGTCAGTTCACTAGTGTAATAGCGTAAGCTTCTGTTGTTGAATGTCACACGCATCACGCACATGACCAGCGTCGGCCAATAGTGAGCCTACGTGTGACGTAGCTCTACGGAATCACACTACGTTAACTGACTAGAGGCCCAAAGAGAAGGACATGAATAGTTGAAATAAAGTCGTTATTTTTGTTTGTTTTTGCGCACAAAAAGTATTCTCGTCGCTTGATAAACTTAAGATTGAGCCACTGTAGTCACTTGGACTATTTTAACAATGTCTTTAATAACTTTTCGAGGCCGGCAAGTTCAATCCCTGAAGAAGCCTATGGACTAGTATGGAGGAGTGATTCAGCTGTCAGATTTCATCAAAAATATCTTAATTCATGTTCCGAAGATGAACGAAAGTCTTACGGGGTTGGAACAACATGAGGGTGAGTAATTACTGACAGAATTTTCATTTTTGGGTGAACTAACCCTTTAAAGTCGGGTGGATTCTGACGATTTTTATCGTTCATCAGCCGGGGGAAAATTTGTTCTTAAAGTGATTCCAATGATATCATTCCTCTGTTGTTAATAGCTGTGGTCTTTGATATTCTTATAGAATTTGAACAATGAATCAAACTTTATAGGTATCATTGTAGTTATTGTTCTTGGTGTGCATCGGCCTTTAGCCTTATGTTTGCACTTATTTACTTAAAGTTTTCAATATATTTGCATTCATAACAAGTAAAACACTTTCTCAAGCATTTTCATAATGCTTGTTAATGTAAAATGTAAAATTTCATCTACAAAAAAAAATATTTGCAAATTGTTTTAAATTGAAATTAAACTACAGTGCCTTGCAAAAGTGTTCAAACCCCTTTCATTTTCAGTGTCAAGCTTGATATTTTATTCGTTTATATCAATTTTTTTTATGTGACATTTGTTTCAATCTATTTTAGCGTTTTCAGAATTTATTTTTTCCGGAAGGACAGTTTAAAAAAAGAAAAGGTGTTTTTATATACACTTTTTGTTCAGTTATCAGGAAGTGGAAACTACACTTCCAGACTACCGAGACACTGCATAGAAAAGTTCAGCCCCTAAATAAGAAAACAGGCTAAATAATGAATAGTGGTCATGTATATATATATATATATATATATATATATATATATATATATAATGAAAAACTATTTATTGGTTCTCTCGATTCTTTCTTATAATAATAATAATAAAATTAAATGATTTTTGTAATTCACCAAATGACAGAATTCATTTTTAGGGTTTGAATACCTTCACAAGGCACAGTTGGAAAGAGTGGGGTAAGATGAGACACCTCCTGTATCTAGGAAACAATTTTTATGCAGTATATTTGAAGGTTTAATATTTGGCTTTCCGTGATGGAATTGAGCACACTATCATAACCCTTGCTGTCACTCTTTTTACTCCAGTAAATAATTCTCAGGGCAGGCTTATTATTCATCAATTTTGAAGGTCAATGTGTAGTTATAATTGTTGTATAGACATCATTGTATAGGCTTCATGGTATATCTCCTCTGTCATTGCCCAGGAAAAAGATTGTTCAAATAACTTGATACAGGTTTGAACTATAGGTATTTGAAACCAACATTTTACCAGAAAACAAGCATTTGTGTAACCGATTTAAAATCTAGCCCTTGCAATGTTCCCATGTGGCGATATCATGCATGTTGTGGACTTGGTTGATATATATCAGTAAATTGGCTAAATATTAACATTGAAATACTTACTACTGTGTGGGGAAAAATTGCTTTAAGGCAAGTTGAGCTTGTAAGAGATCATCTTTCAATGGCCCTATGTTAAAAATGCTCTCATCAAATCAATTAATATTAGTTGTCCTGACATATGAAAACTGGCTCGTCTTACCCCATTCTTGCCTATGTTTTAAAATCAATTGTAAATTACTAAAATATACAAAACATTTATTTACAACTTTTATGAATAACAATATTCACCTTGTGCCCACTTGAAGTGAGAGTGATGGAGAATTATAATATCTGTCTTTTAAAAATGGCCTACAATGTTTTAAACAATCTTTTATTTTATCAAATATACCCAATGAATGGTAAAGACCAGACAACTGTACACCAGCAGTTTGTGATTTAAATCAGTTGTTGCATCATTCTCTGTAAAGCACTTTCTTGAGTGAACTGCATGAATGCAAGTAAAACCAAGCTACTTTTTAAATCTATGTTGAATATTGACAGTGAACTACAGTTCAAAGCATTTGTTTGATCATTGCATGGGCACACCTATCTGTTGCATTGTTGTCGGTACAGAGTTGTTTTTCCATTTTACAGAAACCTTCTTCTGTTCTGTTGTGATTTGTATCAGTATCAACTATTAAGTGATGTCACCCTATTGGTGATTGTTGCATCAGTGTTTACAAAGTCACATTGGCTCTTGCATGACAGTAAGTAGGTCTGTCTTTTTACTGCACATGAAATTCCTAATCAGCAGGAGTGTTGTGAGTCTATTGAATATCTCAAAGCAAAGATATATTCATAACTTCAGTATTATGCAGTTGTTATGCCCAATAGTGATCCACCTTGTAACATTTCTACTGTAAATATATATTCTGTGCTTCTTTGTGATAGCATGTACATACAATACTTCCTGCAATAAACATATTGTGTTCTGATTTTACTGGTTGGTCTCATGATCCTCATCATACGCTTATATAATGATGTTTTTAATCATTATATCCAGAGCCGGACAGTAACGGAGTACATTTACTTGAGTACAGTACTTAAGTACAATTTTGAGGGATCTGTACTTTACTCGAGTATCATTTTTGGGGAGTACTCATGACTTTACTCAAGTACATTTGAGAGGCAAATATTGTACTCTTTACTCCAATACATTTCTATCCATAACCGTGAGTACCTGAGTAAAAAAAAAAAAAAAAGTAAAGAAAAATCTCGGAAACCCTCTATTTGTTGTTTCCCTCTCAAACGTGATTGGATTGTGCAGGCGCCATTGATTGGGACAGCCTATCAGCAATCACTTTCAGTTTTCTGCCAAAGTCAACTCCATGGTCAGATTTTATATTACACATTAATGTAAGCCAAGCATTTGGTTTGATGTTCTTGAGTATGTGGTGTGTTTAACACAGTCAGGTTCAAATGTGGCAGTGGCGTAGCCACGAGGGATTTCTTATTTCTTAAAAAAAAAACTTTAGGAGGCAAAATATATGTTTACTGATTATGTGAATTACACTGCGCAAACCAAAGTAGGCTACTACCCAGCGAATGAAGAAGGGTTGGCGCTCAGTCTCCACAGTACATAAAATATTAATTTTGTTTTATTTGATTTTTCTGGTTTGCATTTATGAGGAAAAAACAATGTTATGGACGTGTTCTCCGTTACGGACGTGAGCGCTCTGAAAGCGGCATAAAAAATGCTTTAAAACTTTCACAGAGACATCAAACAGAAAACACAAAACCTTTCTTTAACCTGAATTTCGTTTTGCATTAATTGTATCTTAATTTGAATCAATGTTTCATCAACCAATTGCCTGGGTTTAATAAATAAGAAGTAAATAGCAGACGATAGATAAGAAACGGAGGCGCCGGCACGTGAACTGGATCTCGTCTCATAACTGAACCGAAACACAGTGTATAAGGTAGCCTACTTGCCTCTCACAGACATGTCTACTTTTAAACAGAAAAATTCAAAACGAAAGAAAACAGACTACAGACTGTTCTCTGCTTATGTAATCCGTATGAAATGTGCATTTCTCTCTGGCGCGTTCACTACTGAAGAACGCGAGTCAGCATCGTCAACTTCATCTAGCCGACACTGACAAAGAAAACACTTGTTTATTAACAAGTGTTTATTAATAAACAATTGAAATATCTCCTTGCTATATTTTACATATTCATAATCATTCCTTTTGCCGGTTCTTTGTGACAGCTTTTAGGTGCTTTATTGGCAGCGCCACCCTTACATGTGGTGTGTGTGTGTGTGTGTGTGTGTGTGTGTGTGTTGTCCCCGCATTTAAAGATGGGACCCCCAAAAATTTTTATTAAATTAAATAAAGCAACATGGTAAAAAGATGAAAATGACTTGATTTTACTTTCAATTCCTTTTACATTCTCCAAGGTATTAACATTAACATTTTTCATAACTCCATGTAGGACGTTTCTGTGCATAAATGTAAGTACTGTGGCAGTAGATTAGTAATGCAATATTTAGAAAATCTACTCTTGTACTCTTGATACTCAAGTACTTTTATAAACAAGTACTTTAGTACTTTTACTTAAGTAGACATCTGAATGTAGTACTTTTACTTGTACTTGAGTAAAATTTAGCAAGGGGTATCTGTACTTTTACTCAAGTAACAAAGCTCTGTACTCTGTCCGCCTCTGATTATATCTCTGCAACCACGAACCACCCCTGAATGAAACTCACCACATGAAAGAGCGGGGCATAGAGTTTCAATGATGCACACAGTTTCAATGAACAGCCTAATGTTGCCATTTTGAAATATATTTGTTTGAAATTGGGTCCATCTTTTTGAAACACCCATATATATATATATATATATAAAATATTACTGATAGTGAAATTATTTTTTAACCATTTTCATTCAGCTGAAAACAGTTTATTTAATAATCAATTAATGTATTAAATGTATTTACTTATTAACACTCAAATAAAAACTGAGTTAAATTTGCACATACGGCAGTTTTTAAATCAACATTTTAATGATTTAATTTTGTTGCTACTCAAATTTTGAAATATAAACATTTAAAAGGTGGTTGTATTAACTTTTTTTCATTGCAGATTTATTCAGTATATTAAAGGGGTGGTTGATTATGATTTCACTTTTTTTAACTTTAGTTAGTGTCTAATTTTGCTGTTTGAGCATAAACAACATCTGCAACGTTAAGACACTCAACGTTCAAAGCAAGGGAGATATTTTCTTTTACAGAAATCGTTTTTTAAGGACTACAACAAACGGCTGGTAGGGACTACAATGTGCTTCTTCCATGGTTAGTGACATCACTAACCCTAAAATTTACATAAACCCCGCCCCCGGGAACGCATTTATAGATTATCATGACAGAACATGCTAATCAATGACTAAAGATAGTTTACTCCACATCAGCTACATAAATTCATCAACTAACCATTCAGAAATGTCCTGTTGCGTTCTACATGTTGTCACTTCTTGAGTCTCTCCATCTTTGTCCGACTCTGGTTTGAACATAAAAGGCTAAAAGTTTTTAAAATGTTCAATCCATGTCCCTGTGAGGTAATCGGAGCTGCTAACACAAGCTGTTGAATCTCCGCCCTCTGTGCCGAGAGCAGCAGCTCATTTGCATTTAAAGGGACACAAAACGGTCAAAAAGTGACCATTTTAACAAGCTATAAAAATATATGTGGGGTATTTTGAGCTAAACCTTCATACACACTCTGGGGACATCAGATATTATTTTACATCTTGTGAAAAGGGCATTATAGGATCCCTTTAAACAATAAAGACAACAAGTTAAGTAAAAATATAATGAATATGTAATAGGCCTATAGTGCAAAAATATTTGTTCTAATTCTGATTGGTTGATTGCAAGTTTGAATCTTGTTTGTTTTTTTTTGTGTTTTTTTTGTGTGTGGTATTTTCATGAGTTTACTCCATTTGCAATTGTGTGTGCCAAAATAGATTTCTTTCAGCTTCAAATTTTGATTCTTATATTTCTCCATTCCACAGGTGCTGCTGGTTTTGTTTTTGTGCCCATCAATTTGCTCTACTGGTCTTAAAATATATCAAGGGAAATAATTTCCATTAAAAAAAGCTTATTTCTAAGATCCATAAAAAGCTCTATCATCTCTAATGTGAAAATGTCCATTCAAAAGCAGTATTTCTCTATATTTAGCATGTTAGTTGCATGTAAGCACCTTTTTGAATTAAGAAATACAGTAATGCCAGACCTCCCCCACCTCAGAATATCAAAAGAAAATGATCAAGAGTACAGCATCCTCAAGCTCAGAATCTTCTTATAAACACAACACATTACACATATTAGTTTTCTTATTTATCAACATTAGCCAGTTCATACTATGAACCCGTGCATGCATGGAAATGTGGAACAGAAGACATGATGGGCAAACGCATGAAATCCTTCGTTGATAAACTGAGGGGTGTGAACAACATGATTTAAGCGAATTTTTATTCGAGTTAAAAGAAAAAGTAACGCTGCCTCCTTGTGGACGAACTCCTACAGCTCTTCAACAGTTCACAGTGTGGCATGACTGAGAAAGAAGTGCAATTATGAGAATGATATTATAATGTTATATATAAATGCTAGCAAACAAGATGGTCAACAGCCTATTAAAATGTTCAAATAATCAGTTCATAAAATGTGAGGACATGTTTTGCCAATACATGAGTCATTCAGCACAGTTGTGATTTAAAACATTTAATTGACACAACACAACCATGCTATACACTGGAGAAAATAATGATCTGATCCCCTGCTGGTTTTGTAAGTTTGCCCACTTACAAAGAAATGAAGGGTCTATAATTTTTATGGTAGGTTTATTTTAATGGATAGAGAAAGAATATCAACCAAAAAATCCAGGAAAAATACATTATTTATAGGTTAGAAATTGATTAGCATTTAATCGAATGGAATATTTGATCCCTTACCAACCAGCAAGAATTCTGCCTCCCTCAGATTGGTTATGTGCCCATGTGGAACACAGATTAGTCCTGTCACTTTAATAATGTACTCCTAATGTCAGCTTGTTATGTGTATAAAAGACACCTGTTCACATAATCTGTATCTTCCATTCCAACTTCTCCACCACCATGGGCAAGACCAAAGAGCTGTCAAAGGACATCAGGGACCAGTTTGTAGACCTCCACAAGGCTGGAATGGGCTACAAGACCATCAGCAAGAAGTGTGGTGAGAAGGAGACAACTGTTGGTGCCATTATTCATAAATGGAAGAAATACAAAATAACCATCAATCACCCTCGGTCTGGAGCTCCATGCAAGATCTCGCCTCGTGGGGTAAGGATGATCATGAGAAAGGTGAGGGATCAGCCCAGAACTACACGGGAGGAGCTTGTTAAAGGGTTAGTTCACCCAAAAATGAAAATTCTGTCAGTAATTACTCACCCTCATGTTGTTCCAACCCTGTAAGACTTTCGTTCATCTTCGGAACACAAATTAAGATATTTTTGATTAAATCTGAGAGCTGGATCACTCCTCCATATAGGCTTCTTAAGGGATCGAAACTGACCGGCCCAAAACTTATGAAAGACATCGTTAAAATAGTCCGAGTGACTACAGTGGCTCAACCTTAAGTTTATCAAGCGACGAGAATACTTTTTGTGCGGAAAAAAACGAACAAAAATAATGACTTTATTCAACTAATCATTTCCTTCTCTGTGTGCTGTGATATTTCACGTAGTGAAACTACGCAAAGCTTCTAGGTTGGTACGGTTGTACGTTTTCACAATCTGCTCAGTTACCGGGATTTTCACGCATAACCATTTCTAGGGTTTACAAAGAATGGTGTGAAAAGGGAAAAACATCCAGTATGCGGCAGTCCTTTGGGCGAAAATGCCTTGTTGATGCTAGAGGTCAGAGGAGAATGGGCCGACTGATTCAAGCTGATAGAAGAGCAACTTTGACTGAAATAACCACTCGTTACAACCGAGGTATGCAGCAAAGCATTTGTGAAACCACAACACGCACAACCTTGAGGCGGATGGGCTACAACAGCAGAAGACCCCACCGGGTACCACTCATCTCCACTACAAATAGGAAAAAGAGGCTACAATTTGCAAGAGCTCACCAAAATTTGACAGTTGAAGACTGGAAAAATGTTGCCTGGTCTGATGAGTCTCGATTTCTGTTGAGACATTCAGATGGTAGAGTCAGAATTTGGCGTAAACAGAATGAGAACATGGATCCATCATGCCTTGTTACCACTGTGCAGGCTGGTGGTGGTGGTGTAATGGTGTGGGGGATGTTTTCTTGGCACACTTTAGGCCCCTTAGTGCCAATTGGGCATCGTTTAAATGCCACAGCCTGAGCATTGTTTCTGACCATGTCCAAGCCCTTTATGGCCACCATGTACCCATCCTCTGATGGCTACTTCCAGCAGGATAATGCACCATGTCACAAAGCTCGAATCATTTCAAATTGGTTTCTTGAACATGACAATGAGTTCACTGTACTAAAATGGCCCCCACAGTCACCAGATCTCAACCCAATAGAGCATCTTTGGGATGTGGTGGAACGGGAGCTTCGTGCCCTGGATGTGCATCCCACAAATCTCCATCAACTGCAAGATGCTATCCTTTCAATATGGGCCAACATTTCTAAAGAATGCTTTCAGCACCTTGTTGAATCAATGCCAAGTAGAATTAAGGCAGTTCTGAAGGCGAAAGGGGGTCAAACATAGTATGGTGTTCCTAATAATCCTTTAGGTGAGTGTATATATATGACTCATTCCAGAATATACATTTCAAGTAGAGAAAGAAAACAAAAAATAGGATTTTTCTTTTCTGTTTAAATTCAACATTTTCAATGTTTGCTGATCTTAAACTGTAAGATTTAAAATATTAAGACTGAACATCAATGTACAATACAGAAAAATATTGTGGAAACTTGGGTTGACGATAACAGAGTTGATATTTTCCACCATTTTGTGCGTTAGCTCAAAATGCTAACCTCAAACCATACCACATGGCATGTCTAAAAACAGAATTTTATGGGTTTTCGCCATATTATCGTTTTTTAAAAAGTGAATGAGAGATTCACTGCAATATCACAATAATAGATTTGACAAATACTAAATCTACTATTGGTGTATCCTAAACATTTTGTACAAATTAATGAGAGAAGAATAATGACACTAATGAGAATAATGAGAAGAATCACTGCTTTCCAGAATTTCCCACCAGAGGAAGTGACATCCCTTGGTGCAATTCACATGCTTTTTCTACAAATGCTTTGGAGGGTTTATTTTGTTTTATAACAGAGGAGTTGACCAGAACGTAGGGGCAGACAAAAAAATAAAATAAAAAATAAAAAAATTAATTAAATTGCATAGATATTTCTGTAATATTTGTAATTGTTTAAAACTTAATAAAGCAAACACAAAAAAATATTTTAAAATTAGACTTAATTGTTTCATGATAATTCAAGTTGAATGTATGAATCAGGAGGCAGAGACAGTCAATAATAGGTGGAGTGGGAGTCATTTAGTTAATATTTCCAATAATCTTTTTTTCCCTAAATATACATAAAGCATTATTTTTAGAGATAGTTTAATATAATTTGTGTTATTATTCAAAACTGATTCAAAAAATTATTATTATTATTATTATTATTATTTAAATAAAAGAAGGTTTATCTGGGAGACTCGAAATTCTAGAATGACTCATATGACATGTCTGGTTCGCTATCTTTGTGGGGACTCTCTCAGTCTCAGACATAATGGTTTTTATTGGCCTACTGTACAAACTGTATATTCTATCTACTTACACTAGCCCTACCCCTAAAACTACCCATTACAGAAAACTTCTTTTTCAAAAAATCTTTTTACATGTAAAAAAAAAAAAAAAAAAAAAAAAAAACTCATTCTGTATGACCTTTAGGTCCCCACGGTGACAATTCACCATGAGTCTTTGTGGATTCAGTTTGAAGTCCCCACCGAGATAGAAAAACAAGCTCACACACACACACACACGCACACACATATACATACAACCAATTATATTGTATGTAGCCTATGTACAACTAAAATATACTACAATATAAATGTATCGATTAACAGGGTTGAATGGTTGAGTGTTACAAGTGCTTTGGCCAAGAGCTCGGTTCTGTGTTCGCGTAATTGAATTGTATTCTGTGGCCACATAGTAGGCTATAGTGTTTTCGTTCGTTGGAACTGTTTTAATTGTAGGCTACACATGCGCAAAGATCTTTGGCCGATGCTTTAATGTTTATAAGCGCTGAATTTTAAGATGTAGGCTAGTGACAATCGCACGTGTGAGAAGACGCTGATGCTGAGGGGAAGCCGCTGACATCTAATGACATCAATTTGTAGTCATTGAGTCTGTCTATCAGTCACACCAGATGTGAGCGTTTACCCTCGTGAGGGAACTCAGGGAAGAGAGACAAAGGGAGCGAAACAGGAATCGCACTTTGGTATTATTTTGCAGCTGGACAATTGAGAAAAAAAGTCAAAAAAAAAAAAAAAACCTGTGCTTATAGGACGTTGTCGTGATCTTGTAAGGAGTTTTTTGAGCTTTTGGAGAAACATGGCTGATGGTGACAACGAAGTGGCATCCCTGCCTCTTAAACACAGATTCAGGGATTTATTACTTCGAGATCATGCACGGCAAAACGATGCCAAGTAAGTGAATGAAATGTCCTTATATGTTTTAAGACCATTTGAACCAACATACAAAACAAGCATTAGTGTAGGCTAATTTAGTTTGGACCTATAACGTGACAGTTGGTGTTACTGCCTTGTCACGGTTTTGTAATCCTATACTGTGACAATTAGTTATTGATGGTGTGCAAAAACAGTATACTAGTAAAACTCCAGTGTGATGGAGTGCAACCAGTGGTGGAAATGGCTGAAATTTATTGGGTGAACTCAAGTTGGGGTCTTATAATTTTTTAACCGAAAATCCCATGAATGAGATTTGTATAGCGTTTGGACTGGATTAATTCCTCCTGGACTCATCTTATTTATAAAAGAATTTTATTGATGGAAAACAGTCATTTCTTTTGTTTAATCAGTCATTCTCATCCATGTGTTTTGCCGCATAGGATGCAGGTTGACATATCCAGTAAGGATAGTTTCAAAGAACGCCTCCAGTTTTACTTCATCAAAAACCAACGATCGAGTATGTCTGTTTTTTATTTTCCTGTTACAATCACAAATGCTAAAATGAATTCTTTCTTGTTTACATCACATAAATTCAACACATTATTAAAAAATAATCGAGTTTCGAATTTCATACTGGTTTAAAATTAAATTTAGTTCTACTTATTAGTTTAAAATGTGTGATATGTTCCATATTTATGTGACAAAAGTTTGTCACACTTGTTGAGTGCATGAAACTTCTTATTGTACGACTATGTCTAAAATGTTTTATAAACACTATTTTTATTCCTCAGGTCTCTGGGTGCGATTGTTTTATCTTTCGCTCAATGTGTTAAGCTGCATTTTGTACATATCCAGAGTGCTGTCTGACGAAGGACAACATCAACACACATGGTACTGTAGATATTATTCATTGTTTGATGGACAGAAACTTTGGAAGGCTCGCCCTTAGCCAAATGAGATGGTTCCCTTAAGATTAATTACACTCACTGGATTCACAATGTATAGGCTTAACCCTTGAATGATGTTGCAGGTCAATTTGACCCGGAACACAAAATAACCCTAGGATATTTTTGTTAAATTTTGAGACAATTTCTCATTTAGGGTTATGAACATGCCTGCAAAGTTTTGACACTGTTGTGGAATGCGTCTACAAAATTGCTGACGTTTTTAATGTTAGTGGGTCAATTTGACCCGCAATTTCATGGTTAACCTCAGCTGCACAGACCCAATTTTTTTTAAAATATATATCAGTTTCTCAACTATCCTCTGAGAGTATTTAAATTTACATTAATACATTTGGGAGACACTTTTATGCAAAGAAATGTACACCGCAGCACAAAAGGCGTACATTTGTATCAGTTCAAGAATGTTAATATCGCTGGGAATTGAATGCATGATTTTGGCTCTACTGTTTTTATGAAAGCTCACAAAAATAAAACAAAAACATTTAAAATGAAAAAAAAAATCTAAATTTTCAAGTTACAATACTGTTTATTTTTTAAACAAATGGTTAAAAATAGTTGTCAAATACAGTTTTAAAAATAATATGTTCTTATATTTATTTTTGTTGTAATGTGTGAGAAGCATTTAAAGATTTACTGTTTTCACCTGATTTATCTATTTATTTATATAGTGTAATTGTTCTTGAATTGTATTGAATATGATTAGGGTCAATTTG